CTTTTGGAAGATTGCGCCCCCCCCCCCCCCATGGTTAAAGGCTTCCTTTAAAAATGAATGTTAAAGGGACAGTTCACCAAAAGAAATGAAAATTCTGTCATCATTTACTCACTTTCATGTCATTCCAATCCTGTACGAGTCTCTTTCTTCTGTTGAACAAAACTGACTACAATAGTATGGGAAAAATACTTTGGAAGTCAATAGGACCAGCAACTGTTTGGTTACACACAATCTTCAAAATATCTTCTTTTGTGTTTAACAGAAGAAAGAAACTCATTCAAGTTTGAAATGACATGAGAGTTAGTAAATGACGACAATTTTCATTTTTGGGTGAACTATCTGTTTAATGAATGAAAGTAGATTGGAGGTCTGCTTACCTGTAACCGCAGTAGAGACATCTTTCCCCCGTAGTATTAGAAGATTAGCAAGTGATAAATTGAAACTTTTTTGCCTGCTGTTTGTTGCACCCTCTCCTCCAGATGTGACTGCTGATGGGGCACTTACTGTCCAGTCAATTCCTTTAAGAAAGAGAGTTAAGTTCCACAAAACCATTCTGCAGACAATCAATGAAGTAATATTTTGCATTTCTTTTTTTATGTCATTAAAAAAAAAATATCCTTCCAAATATTTACATGGATATATGACATCACAGCACTCACCTTCCTCCATCCTAGCGCTGGCGATGAGCATTTGACGTAAATGCTTCAGCAGCCCAGGCCAGTTAAACACACTATAGGCGAGAGACGTGCTGGACATCTGAGGAATGTTACACAAGCTGAGCAGTTTGTACTCGGGGTGACACACCAAAGAACTCAGTAATTCCCCTGCAGATAGCAGATAGATTAGACTGGTAAAGGAGTGTCATTTTGACTGATGGCTGTCTGAAATTGGAGGGGAACTGTGAGTCATTTGTACCGATGGGGTTTGTGCTGTAATGGCAGGTTGAATCAGCGGTATAAGCGGGCTGAAGTACACTGGCCAGCTGGTGAGCGATCACCTTATTAACGTCACTGATGGAGATGTGTTTGATGTTCATCAGCCGGCTGCAGATTTTGTGCACGGTGTCATTCTCGTGAACCAGAATAGCATCAGAAAGCTGGTAGAGGTGTGACAGCGTCAACACAGAGTTGTAGTTTTGCACGATCACCTGGAAAGGAAAACAAAGTAACAAATACAGTGATTAGAATAATAAGAATATATATAAAAAATATATATATA